ACAACCATATGCCAACCAATTGGACAGCTGGGATGAAATAGATAAATTCCTAGACAAACAACCTTCCAAAATCAAGTCAGGAAGAATCAGAAAATCTGAACAGACAGATTGCATCTAGTGATATTGAAACAGTAATAAAAATTTGCAAAAAGCAGAAGCCCTGAACTGGATGGCTCCATAGGTGATTTTTACAAAACAATTCAGAAAGAACAATTACAAAAAGAATTGAGAAAGAAGACCTCTTCTTCTCAAACTCTTTCAAAAAGTTAAAGAGGAGGGAAGCCTCCCAAGCTCAGCTTACGAGGCCAGCATTATCCTAATTGTAAAACCAGAGAAAGACACTATAAAAAAGAAAATTATAGGCTAACATCCATGATGAACATAGACACTAAAATTGTCAACAATATATTAGCAAACCACATTCAGCAATAAGTCAAAAAGACCAAACACCATGACTAAGTAGCATTTATTCTTGGAAGGCAATGTTGGTACAACATTCATAAATCAATAAAAAAATGAAGGATAAAAACCACATGATCATATCAATGGACACAGAAAAAGTATTTGATAAAACAACATCCATTTGTGATAAAACTCTCAGCAAAGTGGGAATAGAAGGAACATACCTAAACATAATAAAGGTCATATATAAAAAACCCACTGCCAACATCATACTCAATATGCAAAAAGTACAGGTGTTCCCATTAAGATCAGGAACAAGACAGGGATGTTTGCCTCGCCTCTCTTATTCAGCATAATACTGGGAGTCTTTGCCACAGCAACCAGACAAGAAGAAATAAAAAGGCATTCAAATCAGAAAGGAAAAAGTAAAACTGTCATCATTGGCACAAGACATGAGACTGTAAACAGAGAACTCTAAAGATTCCACCAAGAAACTACTAGAACTGAAAAATGAATTCATGAAAGTAGCAGGATACACAATTAGCATCCATAAATCAGTTACATTTTCATATGCCTGTAATGCACTAACAGAAAGGGAAATTAAGAAAAAAAATCCCATTTTACAATTGCTTCAAAACAAATAAAATACCTAAGAATAAATTTAACCAAGGATGAAAAAAGACCTGTATCTGGACAATTATAAGGAGCTAAAGAGAGAAATGGAAGAAGATACGAATAAATGGAATCACATACTGTGTTTATGGATAGGAAGAATTCACATCATTAAAATGTCCATACTACCAAAAGCAATCTATAGACTCTGCAATTCCTACCACAATTCCAGTGAAGTATTTCACAGATCTAGAGCAAATATTTCAAAAATTTATATGGAGCCACAAAAGGCCCCACATAGCAACAGTCATCCTGAGAAAGAAGAACAAATTTGGAGGAATCACACTATCTAATATGAAACTAAACTATAAGGTCATAGTAATCAAAATAGCATGGTACTTGCATAAAAACAGACATACAGAACAATGGAACAGAATAGAGAGCCCAGAAATAAACCTATACCTTTATATTAATTAATATTTGACAGAGGAAGCAAGCACATACAATGGACTGAAGATAGTTAATTCAATAAATGGTGGTGTGAAATTGTACAGAAATGTGCAGAAAAATGAAACTAGACAAATTTCTAATTTACACACAATAATAAATTCCAAATGGATTAAAGACTTGAATGTTAGATCCAAAACCATAAAAATCTGAGAAGAAAACATAGGCAGTAAATCTCAGACATTATTCATATCAATATTCTTTCTGAGATATCTCTTTAAGCAAGAAAAACAGAAGAAAAAATAAACAAATGGGACTATATCAAACTAAAACCTTTTTCTACAGCAGAGGAAACCATCAACAAAATAAAATGACAAGCCACTGAATGGAAAAACACTCACCAATATCTTTGATAAGGTATTAACATCAAAAATTTATGCAAATTTATAAAACTCAACACACACACACACACACACACACACACAAATAATCCTGAAAATGGGCAAAGATCTGAATAGACACTTCTCCAAAGAGGGCATATAGGTAGCCAATAGACAGTTGAAAAGATGCTCATCATCACTAATCATCAAAGAAATGCAAATTAAAGCCTCACACCTGTCACGGTGGCTATTATCAATAAATCAACAAACAACAAGTGCTGGCAAGGGTGTAGAAAAAATGGAACACTTCTGTATTGTTGGTGGGAGTGCAGACTGGTGCAGCCACTGTGGAAAACAATATGGAATTTCCTCAAAAAAATAATAATAGAACTGCCTTTTGATCCAGTGATTCCACTGCTGGATTTATCTGAAGAAATCTGAAATATTAATTTGAAAGAAATAAGCATCCCTATGTTCATCACAGCATTATTTACACTAACCAAGACTTGGAAAAGCCCAAGAGTCCATCAGTAGGTGAGTAGATAAAGCAACTATGGGACACTTACACAGTGGAATGACACTTGGCCTTAAAAAGAAAAAAAATTTACCCTTTGTGACAGCATCACTGAACTTGATTCTAAACTTTTTTCTATTTCTCCTTAATGTATCTTTTCTTTTTTTGCAACAGAAAATGTAATGAGTAGGAAAAGCAAATTTTACTTTGAACATTTGCAATCAAGCCAATATGGTACTGAATTATACACAGACCAGTTCTTCAGAGTAGAACACTATTCACAGGCCCATGAATATAAGGAAAGGCACATGAAAGGGCATTTCAATTCATGAAAAAAAGTGTTGGAGTAATTCTTATAACTATTATTTCATATCATATACAAAGAGGTGAATCCTGTGTGAATTACTGATTTATATATTAAAAAGAAGCAAATACAAATGTTTTAAATCTTGAAAAATATATTCATAAAGTTTATATAAAAACCTATAACTGTAAAAGAAAGTTTTGACATTTAAATTTCATAAAAACTTTAAACTTCTTTAGGACAAAATACACCATTACAAGCCTAAAAATGACAACAAATGAGACAAAAATATTAACAAACATGCAACATATAATCTATGTAATACACTAGCCTATCTATTGTTGTTCAGCCTGATTTTTAAAAAATGACTGATATAACAGCAACACTGGTAAGGCATATCCAGGCATTTGTGTAGAAGAAGAAAAACCAAATAATTAATAACCAATGAAAAAATGTTCAAATATACTAAAATTGTAGTAACGCAAATTAAAACAGGAATGAAATAAAACTTTTTATAGTTATTGGGAAAATGTCAAATATTCATAATGTCTAGTGCATAATGTACTGAATTAAAGTAAAACAAATAACATGTGAATAGTTTTACTTAGATATGTCATGCAATTGATATTGTGTTACAGCGTCTGAAGTCTGCCCTCAGTTTTTGGCTCATCGTCCCCTTGTCTTCCTCTGTAAAGACAGCCGCATCACAGCTCTCTGATCGTTCTTCCATAGGCACATGTTCCTCCGCACAGCAGGACAGCCTTTCTGATTTTTAAGGACCTATCTAATTTGACTGGGGCACCCAGATTATTCAGGATAATTTCCCATCTCAAGATAATTTACTTAATCACATTTTCAAAGTCACCTCTATGTAAAGAAACAGGTTCCAGGTTCCAGGGATTATGGACGGCTCTGTTTCTGTTGGCATGAAATAGTCGAGAACCAAATAGGTCTCCCAGGTATGTCATGGGGATTTGCTCCATTAGACAAAAGGCTCCTCCACAGATCTTTCCTATGTAACCACGTACCTATTTTTGGCTCCTGCTGAGATGGCTGAAGGGATCTGAGTCACACACATAATCGCAACAAAGCACCTTTCTGTGACTGAATACTCCGGCTTTTTGTTACTTCTGAGGCTCTAGCAAGAAGTTGTACAGCCACACTCTTAGTCATTCTCTAGAGCACACTTGCCTGACAGTGAATCTTCTAATTTTACCATCTTTTTCAACCAGAATAGGCTGAGACTTCTTCAAATTATCACATCTTGACTTATTTTGCCTCACAATTTCACCCTTAGTTTATCTCTTTTCTCTCACATTTTACTGTAAGCAGCAAAAACAAACCAGCTGTATCATCATCACCTAGAAATCTCCCCAGTGTATATCCAGAAAGTTCTTCCCACATATCTGCAGAAAAGGATTTGGTTATAATTTTTGTCACTGTATAATGAGAATTTTCTTCCTCTAGTTTTCTAATGTTCTTATTTACTTCTGAGCCCTCAGCAGTCACACCTTTAAACCTCCATATTTGTGCTGATCAGGATGATTTTGTATTTTCTGAGACAATGAAGGTTGTTGTTCTCATGTTCACCCCCCTTTCTGAGTCCTCACCAGGTCTTCAGCACCCACATCCTACACACTGCTCAATCGAGGATTTTTTAACCATTCAAGTTAAAATTCTTCCAGCCTCTTCTCTCTATCCATAGCCATCAGCACATTTTTAGAAAATGTTTTATAGCCATAACCCACTGGTAAGGATGAGTCTGTTTATTTCCACATTGCTGCCATAACAATTTACTACAAACAGTGGTTTCAAACAACATAAATTTATTATTTTACAATAATGTCAGTAAGAATTTTGGCACTGCCTTACAGGGCTAAAATCAACTTTTTTGCAGATTTTCATTCCTTTCTGGAGGCTGTTGGGAATGATTTGATTCCTTGATTTTCTCCTGTTTCTTGTGGCCACCCACATTCCCTCCTCCCTCCTCCATCTGCAGAACCAGCAATATTGCACCTCTCTGACTGTTCCTCCATAGTCACTTCTTCCTCTCCCCACAGCCAAGAGAGGCTCTCTACTTTTTAAAGCCTATAAGAGTGTATTTAGGCCATCCAGGTAATCCAGGATAACCTCCCCCATCTCAAGGTCCCTAGTTTAATCACATCCGTAAAGTTCAATGTGAGATAACAGATTACAGGTTCCAGGGACTAGGACATGGACATCTTGAGAAGCCACCATTCTACCAACCACAATATTGTAAATAATAATAATAATAATTATAAAATACTAGGATTATAAAACTTGTTTCTCATATCAAAAGCAAGTAAAATCTTATTCTTACTTCTTTTCTTCTTGGCTTTTTCTGGAATAGAGTTGTTTTCAGGATTCACAGTACCTAGAAAATAACAGGTGGTGGTGAGAAAACAGAAAAGAATAGATGAAAGTTGCAAATATTAGCATGATTAATACTGCAGGAGGATTGAGTTTATAAGGGTGTTTGATTTATTGTTTTTCTCTTTCTTAAAAAGGAACTGAAAACCTAGTACACTGAGAAGTATGACTTCAGAATTGGCCCTAGGTCTTCCTTCATTTTTCAATATCACTTTAAAAAATTCTCTTAAATCCCATTGCACTCAGCAGTAAGAACAGGCATCATATTCTGTTTAGATGGCTAGTATTTTTATGAGGAAATTTGTGCAAAAGTTCCTGTAAAAATCCCCAGTTAAACCTGTGACATGCTGGAGGACAGGCATCCATACAAAAATATGTGCTGGGGATGGTAGATTTTAAGATGGCTGCATAGTAGATGGAAGCTACACTAAACTGCTCCTGGCTCACACTGAATTTACAGATAATTACAGAGAAATTAATGAGAATAGCCAACTAAAGTCTAGCCAAACTGAAATATTATAACCAAAGGTTTACAGACGAAATCACATAGAGACTGGTAAGAAGTGCAGAGGTGTGGAAAGAGCTAGCCTCCACAACCAGGTGCAGTGGCAGCCAGAGATATATTGTGGTTGCTAAACTCTCTCCCCCAGGAGTGTGAGGTCTCAACCCCATGCAGGCATCCTCCATCCAGAGCAACAGAGACAGGAAGAGGATCCTGCAGGACATCTGCTGGTGAAAATCAGTGGGGACGTTATGCTGTCTGCCTAGGAGACACCACACACCACTTTTTCTGGGATGAGCACTCCTGCTGTTGAAGCACTGTCCTGGGGAATGGAATGCATGGACTTTGACTGTTAGAGAGCCCATTCTGTTGAGGGCTTTGCAGGCTGCAGCCAGCAATGAGTTTCAGGGCCTTCTTTTTCTGGGGAAGTTCTTGTCAGAGACCCAGGCAGTGACTATCTGTATGGCTTTGGAAAGAGTTCCTTTCTCCCCCTCCTTGAGCACACAGCTGACACCACCTCCTTCTACATGTTGAATGACTTGGTTGGCACCATCCTGCTGAGTTCAGTGATATAAGGGGATCAGAGTGAGACACAGAGCTAGGACTTTCAGACTGTGTCTCCTTGGGAAGCTTTTGTCCAAGAACCAGAGAGCAGGAACTAGGGTGTGTGGCGACATCACGGGGTTGGAGGGAGGACCACATATATTTCCTGCATGAATTTAGCCCACACTACACCGGGACGGGGAAGAAATGAGCATCCTTCAAGCTTGTAGGCACCACACCTATTGGGAGTCTCTTTGGATCAGCCCTGCCAAGTCCCTGATCCTCTGCCCCACTGGACTCAGCTCTATGGGAGGAAAGGTGAGTGACTCAATGCTGGAACATTCAAAGTGTGAGACCCCTGGAGGCTATTATCTAGGACCAGAATACAATGCTAAGCCCCCTCCTGTGGGCTGGGCCAGCATCACCCATATTGGGATATTCTCTTTACCTGTTGCCCTGGTCTTGGGGCAGCTGAAGTTGCTCCTGCAGAGGGGATGGCTCTTTGTACCCAACCTAAACATGTAGTGAGCCCCTCCAGCAGAAACTAAAGTTGGAGACTCTGGCAGAGGCTGAGTGCTTTGGCTCTGGAGTGGCAGCCACTTTTCCTCTCATTGAGTGCCTGAGTGGGTGAGCCTCAAGTAGGTGACCCACTAATGCTGTTCTCCTGACACCAATTACCATATCCTACTGAGCTTGCAACCCGTGGAAGGGGTTTGCACCCAATCTGGGCCTACTGTATATTATTTTGGAGGCTCTGTAGAAGGACTAGGCAACCTCAGGGAGAGGCAGAACAGCTGAGAGGTGAAGGCATGCTGGAACCCTGAGTTGTATGGTCTGTCTTGCTCCCCAGTTGTTCTTCCAGGTTTCTCTGCATGCAAACATGGGACTGCTCCATCTGCAAGCCACCCCTTGCCACACATTCTCTCTTCCCTGGCTGCCAGTCTTCACACCTCCTACCAGTCTGAATGAATGTTTCTTTTGTAACTCTTTGGTTGTCAAACTTCAATACACCTCAGTTTTCTGGCAGTTCTGCTTACTTTTTGTCCTTAAATTTATTGTTGTCCTTCTTTTGGTTGTGCAAACAGGCAAAGTATATCTAACTATGCCTCCATCTTGGCTGGAAATCTGTCTATATCTTTCTTGAAGTCCTCCAAGATTTTCCTTATATATTGGGTGCTCCATGTTTGGTGCATATATGTTTACAATGTTTATGTCTACTTCATGGGTTCTCAAAAAGAAAAGAGAATTTTTTAAAAATGAGGAAATTCTAAGGCACCTTTGGGGCAACATCAAGTGTAACAATGTCTGCATCATATGGGCACCAGAAGATGAGAGTGACCGGGAACAGAGAACTTTTTCAAAGAAATAATGGCTGAAAACTTCCATAACTTGGTGAAGTAACCTAAGTTCAGGAAGAACAGAGAACCCCAATCAAATTGAACCCCAAGGGATTTACACTAAGACATATCACAAGGAAGAATGGCAAAGGTTAAAAACAAAGAGAGACCTTTAAAGGCAGCAATCGAGAGACACTTAGTTTTAGTTATCTAAATGGGGCTCCAAAAGGCTGTCAACTGATTTCCCACCAGAAACACTCAGCAAAGAGGGATTTGTATGAAATATCCAAGATTATGAAAAGCTAAATGAGTTCATTACCACCAAATCAATATTGCAAGAAATGTCAAAGTGTCTGCTTTAAGAAGAAATAGAGAGAAGAACAGAAGTATAAAAAATAAAATAACAATAAGTAAATATCTAACAATAATAACCTGAAATATAAATGGATTAAATGCTGAATGAATAAGAAACATGACCCATACATATGCTGTCTACAAGACACTCATCTCAGAACAAAAGATACACAAAGACTGAAAGTGAAGTGATAGAAAAACATTCTATGCAACTGAAAACAAGGAAACAAAACAAAAACCCTTGGGTAGTTATACTTATACCTCACTAAATAGACTTTAAAACAAAGGCCATAACAAGAGACAATAAAGGTCACTACATAGTACAATATGAAAGGGATCAATCCAACATGAGGATATAACCTTGGTAAACATATGCATCAAACATAGGAACACCTAAATATACAAAGAAAATCTTGGAGGATATTAAGGAAGATACCAACAGAAATACAGTGATAGTCGGGGGTCTTAACACCTCAATGGATAGATATTCCAGACAAAATTTCAACAACACAGCAGTGACCTTAAATGTCACACTGGATCAGATTGTCTTACTTGATATTTACAGAACATTGCATCCCAATCAGTGGAATATACATTCTTCCAAAGTGCACATGGAACTGTCTCAAAGATAGACTACATGTTAGGACACAAAGTAAGTCTTAAATTCAAGAACATTGAAATCATATCAAGCATCTACTCTGACCACAACGGTATGAAACTAAAATCAACTACAAAAAGATACACCTGAAAAATATCCAAACACATGGAGGTTAAACGATGAATGGCTTAGCCCTGGCCAGTGTGGCTCAGTTTCTTGGAGCACTGTCCAAATCAAAAGGGCATGTGTTCTAATCCTGGTCAGGGCATATGAAACCACAAAAAATCCTAGAAGAAAACATAGGCAGTAAAGTCTCAGACATTGCTTGTAGCAATATTTGATATATCTCCCCAGACAAGGGAAATAAAAGAAAAAATAAGCAAACGGAACCTCAACAAACTAAAAAGATTTTGTACAAGTTTCCAGCTGAGATGGAGGCATAGGTAGACACACTGTGCCTCTTCCCACAACCAAGATAGGGACAACAACAATTTAGAAACAAAATAACAACCAGAACTGATAGAAAATTGAACTGTATGGAAATCAGACAACCAAGGAGTTAAAATAGACACATTCATCCAGACCACTAGGAAGGGCGGAGTCGGGCAGCCAAGTAGAGCGGTGGCAGCACAAAGAGTGGTGGAACCAGGCATGTAAGGCATCCCGGGTGCACAAGACCGGAGCAGGTGGACCCTGGACATGCAGGCAGCTGGCAGACCCTAGGCACAGGGTGGCAACCGGCAGGCCCAGCAAGGTGGTGATTGTGAAGCAAGGCACTGCATGCAACCCAGTGTCCCAGCGCCGGGAAATGGAGCCTTGGAGCACTGATTGAAAGCACCTGTGAGGGCTGAGGCACAGGGAGAGACTCCCAGCCTCACAGGAGAGTTTGTTGGAAAGACCCATGGGTTCCTAGAATGTGCACAAGCCCACCCACATGGGAATTAGCACCACAGAGGCCCAGTTTGCTTGGGGGAAGTGGCGAAAGGGACTGAAGTCTGACAGAGAGCAGAGCAAGCACCATTATTCCCTCTCAGACCCCGCCCCCACATATAGCATCACAACCCAGCCACTGGGTTGCCCCACCTTGGGGAACACCTAAGGCTCCACCCCTCACTACGTACCAGGCATGACCAGATTAAAAAAAAATGGTTCAAAAGGAAGTACAAATAAAAAACCCAGAACCAATACTTTTAAGTGACCAGGAGATAGCCAACTTATCAGATGCACAGTTCAAAGCACTGGTGATCAGGATGCTCACAGAATTGGTTCAATCTGGCTGCAAATTAGGTTAAAAAGTGAAGGCTATGGTAACAGAAATGAAGGAAAAGGCACAGGGAACCAATAGTGATGAAAAGGAAACTGGGACTCAAATCAATGCAGTGGACCAGAAGGAAGAAAGAAACAACCAAAGAAAAAAGAATGAAGAAACAAGTATTCAAAAAAATGAGGAGAGGCTTAGGAACCTCCAGGACATCTTTAAATGCCCCAACATTTGAATTATAGGGGTACCAGCAGGGAAAGAGGAAGAGCAACAAATGGAAAAGTTATATGAACAAATAATAAAGGAGAATTTCCCAATCTGGCAAAGGAAATAGATTTCCAGGAACTCCAGGGAGCTCAGAGAGTCCCAAAGAAGTTGGACCCAAGGAGGAATACACCAAGGCACATCATTACATTAGCCTTGGCTAATTACATTAGCCAAGGTAAAGATGGAGAGAATCCTAGAAGCAGCAAGAGATAAGGAGACAGTTACCTACAAAGGAGTTCCCATAAGACTGTCAGCTGATTTCACAAAAGAGACCTTGCAGGCAAGAAGTGGATGGAAAGAAGTATTCCAAGTCATCAAAGGCAAGGACCTACATCCCAGACTGCTCTATCCAGCAAAGCTATCTTTCAGAATGAAAGGGCAGATATAGTGCTTCCCAGGTAAGGTCAAGTTGAAGGAGTTCATCATCACCAAGTCCTTATTTTATGAAATGTTAAAGGGACTTACCTAAGAAAAAGGAGATAAAAAACATGTATAGTAAAATGACAGCAAACTCACAATTATTAACAACCACACCAAAAAGAAAAACAGACTAAGCAAACAACTAGAACAGGAACAGAACCACAGAAATGGAGATCACATGGAGGGATGGAGGGTTAGCAACAGGGGAGTGGGAGGAGGAGGGAGGGGGAAAAGTTGTGGAGAATAAGTAGCACAGATGGTAGGAAGAAAATAGATGGGGGAGGGCAAGAATAGTATGGGAAATGCAGAAGCTAAAGAACTTATTACACATGGTCATGAACTAGAGGGGGAATGTGGGTGAGAGAGGGTGTGTAGGGTGGAGGGGGATGGAGGGGGAGTAATGAGACAACTGTAATAGCATAATCAATAAAATATATTTAAAAAAGGACACATGGACAAAACTTCAGGAGGGTGGAGGCAAGGGAGGGAGGTGGGTTTGGAGGGGATGGGGAAAAACTACAGACAACTGTAACTGAACAATAATAAAATCATTAAAATATAAAGTCATTGGTGAAAATGAAAAAAATAAATAACAAGTTTTTGTACAGCAATGGAAACCATCAACAAAATAAAAATGCAATCCACAGAATGGGGAAGCATATTTTCTGATACATTGGATAAGGGGTTAACATCCAAAATTTATAAAGAATTTATAAAATTCAACACCAAAGTAAACAAATAAACTATTCAACCCAGGCAAGGACCTAAACAGACCCTTCTCAAAGAGGACATACAGATGACCAATAGACATATGAAAAGATGCTCAACATCACTAATCATTAGAGAAATGTATATTAAAACCACAATATCACCTCACACTGGTCAAAATGGCTATTATCAATAAATCGACAAACAAGTGCTAGTAAGGATGTGGAGAAAAGGAATCCCACTGCACTGTTGGTGGGAATGCAGATTGACCCAGCCACTATGGAAAGCATTATGGAAATACCTCAAATAATTAAAAAATAAATCTGCCTTTTAACCCAGTATTCCTATTTATGGGAATATATATGAAGAATCCCCCAAACACTAATTCAGAAAAACATAAGGACCTCTCTGCTCACTGTGGCATTATTTACAACTGCCAAGATATGGAAACAGCCCAAGCTTCCATCAGTAGATGAATGGATAAAGCAATTGTGGGACATTTATAAAATTGAATACTAATCAGTCATAAATAAAGAAAATTTTACCCTTTTGACAGCATGGATGGAACTGGAGAACATTATGCTAAGTGAAATAAGCCAGTCAGAGAAAGACAAATACCATATGATTTCACTCATGTGGAATCTAATGAACAGACTGAACTAACAAGCAAAATAAAGACAGACTCATAAACAGAAAGCAGGATGACAGTTATGGGGGGATTAGGGAGTGAAGAGATCAGGCAAAAATGGAAAACAATTCATGGACATGGACAACAGTGTGGTGATTGAGGTATGGAGGGAGGGGTAAGGGGGTTGGTTAAATGGTAATGGAAAAACACAATAAAAAATTTAACATTTTTTTCAGCAAAAAAAAGTCTGGAACCAGATGACTTCACAGGCAAATTTTGCCAAACATTCAAAGAACTAACATATATCCTCCTCAAACTATTCCAAAAAATTAAAGAGAGAAGGCTTCCAAGTTCTTTACAAAGCCGGCATTATCCACACTCCAAAACCAGATAAAGAAGGAAATCTTAACTCTTGTGACAGCATGGATGGACCTGCACATTACTTTGCTAAGTAAATAAGCCAGTCAGAGAAAGACAAATACCACATAAACTCACTTACATGTAGAATCTAATGAACAAAATAAACTGATGAACAAAGTGGAAACAGAGGCATGGATACATGGGTCTTCCTCCTCTCACCCCTTCTATTGTCATTTTACACTGTCTTTTTCTTCATCTGCTGTTTCTCATGTGGGGAGAACTTGGAAATCTTGTGTCGCACGTAGAAGGCTTCCTTTCCCCAAGTGCCCCTTGAACTGTTTCCAAATCTCAGCAGTAGTCTCTTGTGTCTGAGCCATGGACCTACTACAAAACCACCATTTGGAGCAGGTTGCCTACTATAAGACACAAGTCAGAATATGCACTCTCTAAAAACTGAAGCAAACTTACATTTTTCATGGATAGTCATAGTGAGGTATTACAATAAATATATGATTTAAATATTGTACATTTGTAACCTAAAGACCAGGTAACGTTTTTATTTGTTTTTAGGTCTTTTCCTAGCATGTTTTCCTAAATAGCATGCTTCCAATATCCTCTGAGAACGCAAGAAGGGAAACCAACCATCAGTCTGTACACCAAAGAGCTGCACAGCTTATGACCACTCATGCTTCCCAAGGATGAGGGAAAAATTTTTGTAACATTTTTCAACTGCAGTTTTACAAAGGAAACAATGTAGAATCCAGGAAGCTATTATCTCCAGGAGACTTTGTGGAAGACCTAAAAACATTTATGTGATTGTGTTTCCTCATCTAGAAACAAGAGTAACACTGTCCATCATGCTTACCCCTCAGGGTAAGATGTAAGAGAAAAAGTAAGATACTATTTGCCAAGGTCCTTTGAAAAAAGTCACTATATATTCATGACTTGCTGAAGAACTCTGTAGAAAACATACTCTGGGTTTCAAAATGCCTTATGCATTTCTGCTAACACTAGATAGCTGGGGGAATGTGATCTTCCAATTAAGAAATATTTGTTTTTCTCTTCTCTTTAGAAATAATTGTATAAATCCAACACTTTATAGTCATATCCATTAATTTTAAAAAAAGCTCATCACTTTGCCAGCCTATTTCTACTATATAATCAATTTATACATGCATATATTAATAGGACTCATCAATATATAGCCTCATCTTCAAAAATATAAATAAAATGATTTCTTATTGTCTTGCACATCCCAAAGTGGTCAAGTAAAATGCAGAGAATGGGATTCCAGGATAAACTGCATCCTTAGTGCAGAATCAACTCAGAATGAATGCCTCAGGAAACAATACCTGTTAATTCAGCTTCCTGCAGCCCTAAGCCTTGAACTCCCACCTCCTTACCAGATTTCCTTTTCACTGTTGAGGTGGAAGGTTCTGGGGCCTCTTCTCTGTTTCTGCGTTCCACGAAGTCCTCACTGCTGATGTCTGTACAGAGAACAAAAACCCCTTAGTGGCCCAAGGAGCCCATGGACAGGAAAACCCATGACAAGAGCACTAGGAAGACTGAGGAGCTAAGTTAACCCGCTCAGGTCCCACTGGTCTGTGCCCTAAAGCGTGGGCCTGGCAGGTTGCTCTAGGTCCTACACAAGAGGTGGTGAGATTCGGGCTCAGAGGGCAGCTGTGCCCATCCTGCAGCTCTTCTTACCCCACAGTCACCCTGTGTCCCACCTCCACCCACACTCTACCTCTTCTTTCATTCTCACTTTAATTCTCCACTTCCCTATTGGCTCAGTTTCCACTAATCATGCCTGGCGATGGCATGTCTTTAAACTCTCGTCGTCTTCATGTGTTCCGTTTTCTGTCCTGTAACGAGTATCTTGGTTCTTTGATTTTTCCTCAACTCCTCCATCTGTCACTTTCTTCTCTTGCATAGAAACAGTGTGATATCATTGCTTAAGTCAACCATTTCTGTTCTGATATTTTTCCAACGACTGCGGACACTTTTCTGCTGAACTTGCTGCATAAGGCGCTGGTTCCCTCCCCTTCCTACCTCTAACCCAGGTCACCAGGACTGCCTCCACGGGCCCTCTGACATGTCCCAGACCCTTGCCCAGTGCTGTGGTTCACATCACACACTCTTTCAGTCAGCCTTGCCTATTATGTCAGATGCCTGGTTACAGTCACTCCTTCCTTGGGCTTCCCATTCAACTCCTGAATTAAAATATGGCTTTTCCTTCTTTATGTTCATTGGAGCTATAGAGCTGGAACTCACTGGGATTCCATGGTTTGGTAGATCTGCTCCTGGACCAAATTGCAAAAATGAAGAATTTCACTTGTTTCTGCAGAGAGAGTGAGCACCCTCACTACAATTAAGCCCTTCTCCCTGTAATCCCACTGCAGGGAGAGCTCCCCCACCCTCTCCTTTCCTGCTGCTCAGCTCTGTCCTTCCTTTGTGCCTCTGTTAACTCTGGTTTTTTTATTTTTACTTTTGATTCTACTTTTCAGAGGAGAGACCTATTTTTACCTAAGAAGGTTCTCAGGCCATTTTCATCAGTGTGGACACCTTACCTTCTCAGTGGAATTAGGATCAGTCCCTTGTGCCTTCTTTCTGGAGACTGTCTCCTCCAATCAGACAAAGCTTGGTCCTCTCTCTACCAGTTCTCCATTCATTCTCCTTTACTCATTCTCGACATAGTGCTGTTGTTGTCTCCTGATTTTTACTATTTATTGATATTTACTTCCCTCTATATCTTCTTCTATTCATACTTATTTCTCTATATTTATTTTATCATTGTGCACCAGGGCCCAGCAGGGTCCAGGGTGAAGCAAAGTAGTCGTCTACAGGACAGGAGGTGCTGAGAGTGAGATCCTCTTCACAAGCCTCTGGGTTCCTGCCTCACCCTAGACCTGACCTTGCTGTGCCCTATGTGAACCTTCAGTTTATCCATTCTCTACAATGTTTCTTACTTTCTCCTACTGTATTTCTTAATTGTTTTTGTGACCTGTGAATGCCCTTTTTATAGCAATTTTGTCTTTATGTTTTCTCCATCTTAAGCACTCTCATCATTAGTGAAGTTCTACTCTTGTGACTGTATCCACCACACTGAGTCCCTCCACCTGCCTGTTCCCCTTCACACTCATCCAACCCAAACATTCAGTCTTACCTGCTGGTTCAGACTGCTGGGCACATTGTTCATTTGCTTGTCGGCTTTCTAGGGCATCGTTGTTGCCAGTGGTTGTATCAACAATCACACTTATCTCTTCTTCAGACATGTCATTTGAGAGTCCATTATCAGATGTGGCTGTACCTAGACAACATTTTGATTCATAGATATTTAATTTGTTTCCTGCATCAATCAGGGTTCAGCAAGAAAATACAATAAGAAGCTGTCTAAACTTTAGAGCAGAGGGAATTTAGTCCAGATGATTAGTTATACAGCTGATGGAAGAGCCAAGAAGCCCAAATGGAAGAATGTGGCAGCTCTCAAAATGGTCAAGAGCAAGGTATGTGAAGCACTAAGGCTGAGGTCTGTGCCAAGGTCATATCCCAAGGTCACTGGGTAGGGACAAGCTGGACTATGGCTGGCCTGCTTGGTGGGAAGTGGTGTCACGGGGAAGATGCAGCTACTGCCAGACTTGAGGCCCGAGAAAGTGACAGCAATATATACCGGCTTCTCCCTTGCTCCCATCCTCTAATGTCTTGCTACTGTCTACCAGGTCAGGAACTCAGCTGGACGCAGTACAATGGAGCTGGCAAGCAAGTCTGCAGGGGTCTGTGGCCAGAGTTAGAGGGCAGAGCAGAGCAGGAAAAGATAAGGAATGAATCTGAGTAAACCTCCCAGGACCTGCACACCCCCTTCCCCACAGTGAACCTCCTCTGTGCATTATTGACTCCATTGGCCCATCCCACTCTCTTCCCACCAACCCCAATTGTGTATGAATGGATAAACATTACTTTCATTGCAGCTTGGTTTTTCTCATTTAGAACTATTTTTCTAAGCAAAGTAATTTATAAAAAATATTATTTACTAAATTAATTCTCACAATTTTAACATAGAACTTGGGCCCTGGTGCATTCTAATGCAATATCCATAGTTCTTTGGAGCCCCCTCTGGAAGGAGGGGCACAAGACACAGCCCTTTCCGGCCCTGTGCTTGTCACAGTCAACCTTCCTAGATGAGTCAGACTCTTGGACACATTTATTGGTGGTTTGTTTGCAATATTTGGGTCATTACTCCCTCCCCACCACACCCCCCTACACACACACACACACACACACACACACACAGTGAAACCCTTTTCTGCCCATTACTCACCACTGTTCCTTCCTCTCGCCCCTCCTCTTACCACCAGCTCACTGGTAGATAAAGTACTAAACTATGGATTGATGCATGTTGGATGTTCTATACTCTCAAACACTTACTTTTTGAGTAAACATGACTTGTGAAAAGTATAAAGGTGCTCTGAAAAATCATTCTGAAAATTGTTTTTAATAAAAATGTCTTATTAATTTAAAACATCCTTTCTTGAATAACACATCCCAGTGGAGGCTACATAATATGCCTTCCAGGGTGTTTTAGAGCAGCTCCAGGCCTGCAGCCCTGGAGTTGAAGGGAGAGGGTTTGCACAGATTCACATGGTGTCCGTGGTCCTGTGCAAGGGACCCAACGCATGAGAGATCCTGGCCCAGGAGGAACACTCATTATCCCTACCCCACTCTTCTCACGGCAGTGCTGGCCACTGCTGGGTGTGACATCAAAGCAAGGCTGCAGCCAGTGTTAAGCGAGACAGAGGCAGAAGTCTTGTGAAACCAGGTGCATGGGCAATAGGTCCAGGCCAAGGATGGCAGGAGCTGGCAGCACATGCAGGAGGTACGGGAAGAGCCAGCCCTCCCAAAAACCAGGAAAAGGAAGACTCTGTTATCTAAATCTTTGGGGAAAATGCAGATGTAAAGAATGACTATTCTGGACAATCAGCACTAAAAAGAATCAGCCCTACCCCCACCCCCATAGCACATGCCAGAATAAGACAAGAATAGCAAATGATCATAAAACAGTTACTAGAAACACACCAGCATTATTCAGGGGATGTGGGCCACTCCAAGGCATGTTTGGATATGAGTTTCTATCAGTTCCTGGGGGAAGAAAGTAGAAATTTATTTCAGAAATTGAAGTGTGAGCTGTGCTGTTTTCCTCTAGTCCCATGTAAACCTTTACAAGGTAAGACTTGATGATCACCTCCCCCAGGTATTAATAAAGGTCTCATCTGGACCTCGGGGTTCCCCTGTGACTCTAGCCATCCACTACACTGCTGGCCTCAGCCAGGCCATCTTACTGAGATTGCTCACAAGCCACTCAGTAACTGTAGATGGCTTTTCATGTCACCCAAAGTCACCATGAACTTTTAGAGCTGCCTTTGACTGGTGCCCTTACTCTCTACAAAATCTTGTTCTCTCTTCCCCACTTCCCTTCACACCACACCATGACTCTGCATGCCTGTTTTTCTGTAACTGTTGGACGTTTTCATGAGATTCCGTGTCTGATTTCCTGCACTTCCTCCAGCTCCTGGTATTCTTCTTTCTGTGTTTCCTTCTACTTATGTTTCCTGTTTTTAACTCAGGCGTCTGTCTTTTCCATGAGACTATCTGGTGTGTACAGGGTTAGGAACACAGGCTCGGGGTCCAGAATATCTAGGTTTATCTTGCCTATTTGACCCCAAGCCAACTGCATACACAGTCTCTCTAGATTTCAGTCCTTTTCAGAAATGGGCAGATAGTGAGACTGCTCCCCAAGGGCAGGTGTGAGCACTAAGCCCACGACTGCATGGGTAAATGCTCAATAAGTAAGCTCTTAAAAATAAGGTTGTTTTATTGTGTCCTTTACCTCCTTTTCCTGTCTTTCATTTCTCTTCCTTCTCTCTCTCCCTCAAATTATAACCATCTTCTCCTCCACATCTTACCACTTCCCCTCTTCTTTCCTCATATGCCTGCCTATGTCCTTGAACATTCCTGCTCTTGAACAGCATCCCCTATATTTAAATCAGTCCCATTTTCTGTCTTCACCAAGGATCTCCTATGTGGTGTTGACCTTGTGCCCACAGTTCCTAGTCCTCCACAGCTTCACACTGATCTTCTCTTACAGGGTTTTTCTAAATTGCAATTACTTCCAGGTCAGTATTCTTGTTAAATCTGGTTTCCTGACACTCTGGGTTCCTGTCTTGATTATTGGGCTCATGGTCTCCTGTCACAGCTACTTCTACAAGACTGACCTCTGGGCCGATGCTCGCACATATACCCACCGCTGTCTTCTCCAGGTTCCTCTATGGTTCTCCCCAGATTCCCAAACCGTACTCTGGCCTCAGAGCCCACCTCCCTTTCTCCTTTCCTCTAAGCAGATGAGAATCGGTTTTTATCTGGTTGCAATCACCTTGTTCAAGGCTTAGTTGAATACCAGATCTCCCCTCATTTTCTTCTGCATCATATTCCAGGTAATTGCTTATGTTTGATATCTCTGAGAGAAGGCAAGAGAAGAAGACAGTTAGAGATCTCCATCCAGAATAGTGACATCACCTCAAATTGCATGTTTCAGAATTTCCACGTGTGTTGTGGAGAATGTGATAATAAAACCTTTTCCCCTTCTTTAAAAGCAAGTTTGACTTTGAGTTAATGTTCTTGCTCATTACTCTGGAAACCTGATGAAGGTGGCCTCCCTCTGTGTTACTAAGCCAACACTGGGTTTAGGGTAAAAAACGAGCAGTGACAGTATGTAGGGAGATTGCCTGTGACCTGGGAGGGACTAGGTATGAACTCTAAGCCATATTTGGTCTTCCTCCAATGTCATGACTCTTGTAAGTTAGCTCTTTCCTTTGGGGTTGCGGTAAGTTATGATTGTAGAGTTGTTACATGAGACACCGACTCCCATGGACATGGTGTGGCTAGGACATGGTGGATCCCTACACTCATACCTAAGCTGTCACTCGAGGCAGGTAGTACGCCACTTGATGGACTGCTGTGTGGACCACTACAAAGGGTCTCACAGAAGAGCAGTGACTGACACCACCCTTTAGGGATGTTATTTTTCTTGTCATTTGTTCTTCCAAGTAAATCTGATGCCACTGTGTCTCTGCATGTCCTGTGAGTCTAAATGCCTAGTTAAACAGACCACCTGGTGGGTGTTTAACTGTGTCCATTATGTTATAAGCTTTGAGAGGCTCATGCTATGTCTGCTTCTTAACTGCTGTAGCTCCACCACCTAGCACAGTGTTTGGCACATGGTAGGAACTCAGTATATACTTGTGGAAAAAAAATTGGCCATGGACATCAAAAAAGTTAGTAATAAACCTAATTACCTCTTTTGAAGATTGTGTAACTGCGACGTAAATCAGGATAGTTCTTCATGATGGTATTGCTGAACAAATCACGCAGAAGGGGAAAGTCAAATGTCTCCTGCAGTTCAGTAAGAATATCATATACAGCTGCTGTTGCAGAAATTCGCATAAGCTTTGCTTGATACTCCTTAAAAAATAGTGAATGCGGAAAATATAAATACAGAACAGCCCCCAGATAGTGATTTTATTGTTAATGTATGACAATTTCCCTAGATAGTATCTTCTGATGTAAAAGTTTAGAATTTGTATATGTTTGTATGACTACTAAGTGGAACAACTAAATCTGTCTCCCTAGAAAACATCTGTTTGTGAATTTAATCTCCTTATCCTCATTTATAGTAGATAGAAGGAGGAACAATTTTGTAGAACAAAAATAGGTTCATGTTAAGTGATGTGTATCCCTTGCAGAGCCCAGCCAAATATTTTAGGAATCGATTTAGCAGGTGATGTGCCGCTGTTCCTTTGACTGGAAAACACTTGTCCCTTCCCCAGGACAGACTCAGCCTAGAAGGGCTCAAGCAAGCCAGCTGATGATCTTTTCCTTCCTGTGAACTTTGCCATAAAGTAAGCATATTCATAGGGAAAGACAAAACTTGTACTCTGCATTTATGCTTAAGTTTTTTGCTAAAATTAACAGAATTCTGATACTCCAGAAATACCAACAGAAAAGGAAAAAATAGGAAAAAATGTCACCAGACATTTATTCTCTGGGGATTTTAATGTTCTCAATCTAAATATTTAAATTGATATTTATTGAAATGAAATGTTGTGACAATTATTATTTCATTAAATGAAATCATTAAGCTTATTCCTCCATTCATTAAAATTACTGTTTTTCCTAATTTGTGCTATATTATATACATAAATCCTACAAGGCATTATTCATGTGTGGATCCAACCTGTCTCCAGGGCTATTCACCAAACTCTGGGGGCACCACAGGGCACTATTCCCTTCAGTTAGGAGCAGGACTGTTTCCAGTAATGCCTGTTTCTCTTCTCCCTTCTTAACTCTAGGAACACTTACAGCACTACATGAGAAGGTCCCCACTCACAGGAGACTCCTCAGTTGTCTGATTGTTCTCTGACATTTGACTTCAAATATATCAGAACAAAACAAAGTTTAGCGCTGTGTGCCAGATTGTGACAAAGTAAACCTCACTTACGTTATATTTTTTCATTAGTGATAAATTCATGGTCCCGGAGCATTTCAAAGAAAGGAAATGGTCTTTCTATTGCAGTTGAAATTTCCACCTTATGCCTTTTGAAGAGCTTGCCTGCAGTCTCCTTGACACTGTTATATATGTCCTGGTCCTCTGCAGACATTCTGGAGAGAAAGGATACCATGACAAAATGGTAGAGCAATCTTTGGCTGTAGGTCCCCACTTTTCACAACTTTGAATATTTCTTGGCAATCCCTTCTAGCCTCAAAAGGTTTTTTTTGAGAAATCAGCTGAGAGTTTTATTAGTTACATCCCCTGGACCTAATTCAGGTGTACATTTCTGCAACACATCATCCGTACATGGTATTGTGTGTTAACGACCCTAGTCAAGCCTCTGTCCATCACCATTCATCCCCCCCCCCATAACCCACCCCCCCCCCTTCCCCTGGCATGAGTTCTTCCTCTTTTTTTTTCTTTTTTTGCTCAATCCCTCCACCCTCCACCCAGCCACATACACCCAACAGCTGTCAACCTGTCCTTTATCTTTTTTGCTTGTTAGTTCATAAAGTATGACTTATGATGCCAAAGAAAATGGACCTGAACAGGCAACTTAGGGAAAACTAAAATGTCCAATAAACATAAGTATTCATACAAGATAAACATCCCTTTTTGCCTACTAAATTGGCAAACACAACTTCATAAGTGACAAAGCAGCGATGGAGAAGATTCAGAGAAGCAGATGTTCATTGCTGGTATGAGCAGAAATTGCTAAAGACTTTACTGAAAACATATTGCAATAAATTCAAAGATAGAGTCCATATTGGTCCAGTAGTCACCCCACTTTGGGAACCTAGCCTATGGAAATAAAAAACACCAGTTTGCAACTTACAGAAACTAGAGTTCCAGAACTTTCAGTGGTACCTTATTTCCCCCTCAGAAGAAAGACAAGTTCTTACAGTACTCAAGGGGCCCGAAATAGTCCAGCTCTTCTCCCCTGTCCCCTAGCTCACTTCCTCTGGCCAAACCTGCCTCTCTGCTGTTCCTTGACTACACCAGGCACACGTGAGCCCTAGAAACTTAGTGCTGTCTCCCCTGCATAGAGTGTTCTTTGTTCAGATACCCATTTAGTGAACTAACTGCCTCATCTCCTTAAGGTCCTTGTTCCATGTCACCTTCTCAATGGGACCTGCTTTGACCAATTTATTTGAAATAAAAACTTCAGCTCCTTCACCCTGACCTTATAGTCCCAATTCCTAATTTAGCTCCTTCCGTTTTCTTTTTTTCTCTACCATGTCTTAGCCTTCCCTAACATATTAAATTAATTACTTCTGTATTTTATTTAAAATTTATTTTCTTACTGTCACTCTTCCTCCTAAGTATACATATGCCATTAAGACAGAGATTTTCATTTGTTTTGTCCATTGATTTTCTTGAGTACTAGACACATATATCACAAGTAAATATTTTTTATCAGATACCTGTAGGTACAAAAGCATTTATTGAAGCATTGTTTCAATAGCAAAAACCAACAATAAAAACTTAATATGACCACCAAACCTGAAAACAATATGATTTTCCTTCAGATAAATGGTTTAATATATTATAATAAATACATACTAGTGGAGTATTACATACCTATTTCCTTTTAGTAATTTGGATGGGATATCATGGGGGTTTTTTTTTACAAAATTGATTACAAGAGTAAACATTTATTTTGAATAATAAGTTACAACAACTTATAAATTCTTAAAAATCAGGCAAATACTATAACCATAACATCTGAAAGTAACATAGATTTGTACAAGTTAGCTGCCTGAAACAACTCTCAAATAGTTCACCCTTACCTTTTTTACTTCTTTTTTTTTAAATTTTATTGTTGTTCAAGTACAGTTGTCTGTGTTTTTCCCCCATCCCTCTCTCCCACACCAGGCAGCCCTACCTCCCTCCCCTGATTCCACCCACCCTTGGTTTTCTCCATGTGTTCCTCACCTTCAGGAATAACTGTTCCTGAAATCTCATCCCCCTCCCCCTCCCATCATCCTCTTTCACCTCCCCTCTGGTTATAGTCAGATTGTTCTTGATTTTAATGTCTCTGGTTATATTTTGCTTGCTTGTTCATTTTGTGGATTAGATTCCACTTAAAAGTGAGATCAAGGAGAAGATCATAGTTTTATAGATGAACAAAAATATCAAGTTCAGATTAATATATTATGGCCTCATTTTTATATAAATCAAAGTACTAAAATCTTATGGGTAAACTTTGAAACAAATGTTAGAAAATGTGTGGAATGTCACATTCAAGGCTGTTAACACTGGCTTAGTGACAAGTGTCAGGTTCCACCCAGGACCCTTCAAAACCTTCTTTCAACTTTTTTTTGGCAACATCAGTAGAAATAGAAATAATAGGTCCAACATAACAAGACTTTAAGCATATTTAATACCTCACAGCTTATAAAATAATATTGTTTTTATAAAACAACCAGGAAACATAAAATTTTAAGAATTGGGTTCTCAAATTGAAAATAAAGTAAGGCAAAAGAATTAAATTCTTAGAAAGAATCAAACAAATGGAATGCAAGACTTGCACAGAAAAGTATAAAACATTGTACAGAAAAATTAAACGTCTAAATAAATAGAGACATTAAATATTTTAGATTGGAAAACTCAATATTCTTTTTAAATTTGTATTTATTGACTTTGGGGGGGGCAAGGGGAAGAGAAAGAGAGGGAGCAAAGCATCCATGTGTGGTTGCCTCCTGATTGGCCCCTACTGGGGATCTGGTCTGCAACCCAGGCATGTGCCCTGACTAGGAACTGAACTGGTGATTCCTTGGTTCACAGGCCCAAGCTCAATCCACTGAGATACACCAACCAGGGCCCCCACAGGTTTCTTCAGTCAGAGACTTCCATATACAGAGCCACAACACAATGATGTAGGTTGCCCTGACCTGACAAATACCTGAGGTTCCACCCCTTATAAAGTAACAGGTACACTGAGACAAAAAATATGGCTCAAATGAAAGAAGAGATCAAAGCTCCAGAAAAAAATACAACTAAGCAAAGAAGAGGTAGACAACCTGTCAGATGCAGAGTTCAAAACACTGATAATCAGGATGCTCACAGAAATTGTTGAGTATAGTCACATAATAGAGGAAAAAGTGAAGGCTATGAAAAGTGAATTAAAGGTAAATGTACAGAGAACCAACAGTGAAGGGAAGGAAAGTGGAACTCAAATCAATGGTTCTTACCAGAAGGAAGCAATAAACATTCAACTAGAACAGAATAAAGTCAGAAGAATTTAAAACTACGAGGAGAGGCTTAGGAACCTATGGGACAATATTAAGTGCTCCAACATCCAAATCAGGTGGATGCCAGAAAGAGAAAAGGAAAAGCAAAAAATTGAAAACTTACTTGTAAACATAAGGAAGAAGAACTTCCCTAATCTGGCAAAGGAAATAGACTCCCAGGAAATCCAGGAATCTGAGAGAGTCCCAAAGAAGTTGGACTCAAGGAAGCACAAAGCAAGGCACATCATAATTACATCACTCAAGATCAAAGATAAGGAGAGAATCTTAAAAGCAGCAAGAGAAAAGGAGACACACACAAAGGAGTTCCCTTAAGACTATCTGCTGATTTCTCGAAAGAAACCTTGCAAGCTAGAAGGGTCTCGAAAGAAGTATTCAAAGTCATGAAACGCAAGGACTACCACCTAGATTACTCTATCCAGCAAAGCTATCATTTAGAATGGAAGGGCAGATAAAGTGCTTCCTAGATAAGGTCAAGTTCAAGGAGTTCATCATCACCAAGCATTATATGAAATGTTAAAGGGACTTGTCTAAGAAAAAGATAATCAAAACTATGAACAGGAAAAATGACAGCAAATTCACAACTATCAACAACTTAACATGAAAAAAAACAAAAACAAGAAACTAAACAAACAACTAGAACAGGAAGAGAATCACAGA